CCAAATGTATCGTGTTATATTTCGAATCGCAGTCAACATTGTTGACCACGTTTTACGACCCTCCCAATATCTATATATATATTAAAATTAAATGTATCACATGAAAATTTAAAAGAAATAAAAATAATTTTAACACATAATTTACCTATCATAAGCTGTATTTGTCCTGTAGGTAAGCAAAAGACCAACGACGAAACCAAGCACAGGAATAAATGTTTGTGGAATCCCAGGCTTAATATTAGTTTTTATAAATACCGCCGTCACGACAGCCGAGAAAGCGGTCACAATCAAGGTCTGTACTATAACATTTGGGATAACAGAGCCTTTCCATCTCAATAAATGTGGTAGATTTGAACTGTCGTCACAATTATTCACTTTATTCACCTTATTCATCTGAATATTAATAATTTTATTATAGGAGATAATTTTTAAAATACATGAAATTTATAAACTAAAGAAAAAAAAAAACTTTCAGGATAGGATGCATTCATGAGTGTAATAAATACTTAAACAATGGCTTGGCTCTCTCCAATCTCCAATTGTTCTTCGTATAATAAATCCGATTGAAGAACCTCATAACTAGATATAGCTTATCAAGTGGAACAGTATAAACGCCATTAATCAATTTAATGTTAAAAATTATTTTATCGAATTAAATAATGACTAAATTAATTGTTATCGTTCTAATTTCTACGCATAAATTCTAAAAGGATATGTTTTTTTTGATAGCATTTGTTGATTTGTTTTGGATACAAATTCTTAAATTGTCAACTATTTAACTATTTTGGAGATTCAATATGTTACAGCTAAAGTTTAACTACGTATTTCAGTATACACATTAATGTGTCCTATTCGCTTGACAGAATCTTTATATAAATTTACACAGTACCGGTACCGTATTTCTACGTATGTACGTATAACATTCCAGAATCATTGAAAAATTTGTTATTGAAATCGCCAAAGTTGTACATAGGTACAATAATTGTCATAACTTTTTTAGGTTAAATAAACGATAATAAACAATAAGATCTCATGATCAGCAAAAAAGGAAATTGATTTAAAATAATACTGTAATAGGATATTGGGTACGGTACAGTGTTGGGGTGTTGCACATCATATGATTAACTATCATAGTGCAGCGCTATATGTAATTTACACTATGTAAGATTTTTCAA